CCCCGCACGGCTGCTGCCTCCGTGGCCCACTTGGCCAGGCCCGCCCGTGTTGCCCCGGTGCACACGCCTTGCGCCACCCCTGACCCTGCCCCCTGCCCCCTCCCGCCCCCCCCTTTGAATCCCCCAATACAGGCCAACAACAACCTGGGCCTGGTGCTGCAGGACCTGTCCTCTCTGCGCCCCGCCGCCGAGCGCGCCGCCTACCTGCGCCACTCGCTGCACAAGTTCCGGCGCGCCATCCGCCTGCGCCCCGACTTTGACCGCGCATGTGAGTGGGCTGGTCTGCGCTGTGCTGGACTGGAGGTGGCTGCGTGTGTGTGGCGCCTCGCCGCATGACGCTGCATCGAGGGAGGAAGAGGAGGAGGAGCAGCAGCAGCAGCACTCGCAAACTGACGCTCGTGCTGCCCTCCCCCTGCCTGCAGGCTACAACCTAGGTGGGGCTGGCGTCGGCGGAAGCTGGGCGGCCGCACAGCCGCTGCCTGCGTGTGCAGGCTGGGTGTGTTGTGGGGGCAGCCGTCGGCTGCCATGGTGTATGTAGATAGACCGCCCTGTGGGTGCATCATGGCCCTGCCCCCTCCCCTGCCCTGGGCTGCAGGCACTGTGCTCTACTCCCATGCCTGCTCGCTGCAAGAGGAGCTGCTGGCCAGCCAGGAGGCAGCCGAGGCGGCGGCGGGCGGCGGCGGGCAGCGCGGCGGCAGCAGCATGGGCATGGGCAGCCCTGTGATGGCGGCGGCGGCGGCCGCGGCGGCGGCCGCCGGCAGCAGCGGGCGGGGGGCCGCGGAGCGTGCCATCCAAGCCACCTTTGGGCATGCTGCGCAGTACATTGCGCTGGCGTACGCCATGCAGCCGGACAAGCAGGTGTACGGCGACAGCCTGGCAGCGGTGCAGCGCCTGCTGCCGCTGCCCTACCTGCGCGCCGGCCCGCTGCTGGCGGCCCACCCAGACACGGCGGGCGGGCCAGAGGAGCGCTGGGTGGCCTGCTGGTTTGGGCTGGGGCTGCAAGGCATGGCGGCGGTGCGCCCGCCGGCGGCGTATGCGGCGCACGGCGGCCTGCCCGCCGCGCCGCCGCCCGTAGCCTTCCAGCTCGCTGACGTGGCGGATGCCAGGCTGGCGGCCGACCCCAGCCTGCCCGTGGGCGCCGCCATCTGGCTGGGCCTGGGCAGCCAGCCCAGGTGTGCGGGGTGGCGGGCAGTGGGTGGAGGCACGGCTGTTGCCAGGCTCTGCGGCTGTAGGCGGCTAGCAGTGGAGCCCAGGGCTGCAGGCGTGCGTGGGCCACCTGAAACCTCCTGCCTGCACCCCCAAGTGCCGCTGCGATGCTGCTGTCCTGCTTGCATGCTGACCTGGCCCGCGGCCCCTCCTCCCGCTGCAGGGGCGTGTACCTGGTTGCTGCAGACCAGGATGATGCCGAGGGCTGGGTGGATGCACTGCTGCTGCTGTCCCACCTGGTGCGGGCGGGGCGCACCGCTGGCGTGGAGGCAGCGCTGTCAGTGCGGCGGTGACCTGCGCATGCCGATTGCGTGTGCCAGCCTGCCCGCTGCCTCCTGTCCACCTGGCCTGCCGCTCGCACGTCCTTTGCTGCTTTCCCGCATTGCTCATTCATTGAAAAATTGGGCAGCAACGCGCCGCTCGTGGGGCGAAAAAATGCAAGCGTTGTGGTCAACGCACCAAGGCGCGAGGCTGGCGGTGCAGCGCCTTCAGCGCGGCTGGGCCCACGCATGTGAGGCAAGTGGTATCAAAGGGAGGGAGAGGGCATGCATGTTTGTCTGCGCAGGGTTGGGCAGCAAGTAGAGGCCGGGCAAGGCACCCTGTAGCGATGTGGAAACGGATCGGTGAAGCAATTTGTGTTTTGGGAGTTGTCATGAGGCCAGGCAGGTAGAGAGAGAGGCATGGGCAGAGTGGGGGTGTGCACGGCTCCCCCTTCCTGAGTCAAGCGCATGCATGCGGGGCGTGCACGTCTTGCACATGCATGCATGCACTGCGTTGCCGCGGCCGTCACTGCAGCTTCTGCGTGCCCAGCTCCAGGGTGGCTGGCAGAGAAGCTGCCACGCGGCTCCTCAGCATGTACTGCCTCTGCGCCGGCCTGCTGCCGCTGCTGCCTGGGCCCGTACAGGGGGAGGCTGGCGTCTCCGCCGTTGCGCTCCCACCCTTCAGGAGCAGGCGCTGCTTGGCCCTGCACAAGACAGCGTGATGCAGCTTCAGTGCTGCGGGGTGGAGCAGAGAGCGCGCGCCTGCCTGCCCAGCGCAACCCCAAGCGCATCACCCCAGCGCAAGCCCCCCTCCCTGGCCCCGCCCCTCCGCCTCACTTGGTCAGGCCCATGACTGTGAGGTACGCCGCCAAGTGTACCGCAAAGAGGCCGAGGTAGGCGGCCCAAGCGTACGGCTTGTGGGCATCTGCGACGGCGAGGCGCGGCAGGCGCGGCATCGGTCGAGCATACGGGCACATGCGGGGTGGGAGGAAAGGGGCAGAGGCGCCAGCCTGGAGCACGCGCCGGCGCCTTGGCCGAGTAGCCGAATGGCTGCGCCGCCCCGCAGGCGGCAGGCGCCCTGCCGTGCCTTGCGCTGCCACCTGCCGAGGTGCCCCGCCCCCTCGGCAGCGCACCTAGGAAGGGGTAGATGAAGCGGCCTGTGTTGAGGTAGAAGACGGCGGACCAGACGCCAAACAGGCTGCTCCACAGCGCCAGGTAGCCGGATGAGTAGAAGTCGACTGCGGCGCAGGCGGGGGGGTGGGCAGCGGGTGCCCGCGACGGCGCGTGGGTGCGTGGGCGGCAGGGCAGCCGACCGTGGATGCCCCAGGCGGGGCCGGGGATGCCGTGCCGCTCCTGCTCTGCGCTCTCCGCCCGCCGCTGCTCTACCTCCCGTGCACCCACACCCCAGCCGGCGCCCCACACCCAAGCCAGTGCCCCCAAACCCCAGGCGCCCCCCTCACCTGGGATGCGGTTCAGCAGCAGCTCTCCCAGCACCATCACCGCATTGAAGCCGTGTTGCTGCAGGGCAGAGGAGGTGGGCAGGGCCGGGCGGCGCGGGTCAGCTCAGCGGCAGGCGTGCGGCTGGATGCAGGCGCGAGCGGGTGGGTGTGGCGGGCGAGTGGGCCAGTGGGCTGTGAGGGGTCGAGGAGCGGGGCAGTGTGGGGCGGAGGGGGGAGGTGGAGGGGG